GATTACCGGGACACTGAGACCTGGGGCCTCTTAGGGTAGGACTGAGGATCAGCCATAGCTGTTTGCTCCACCCTGTTGATCCCCTGAGACCCTGCCCCATCAAATCTGTGCCCAGAGGCTTTTGCATATGAAAGGCCTGGCCCTTTGCAATCTGAAAATTACCTAACAAACTGCAGCTGGGTCAGAGAGACCCAGAACTTCCAAAAGAAGGCCCAAGGCCCCACAGCAGCTTGCATTGCTTTACAGCTGGGCCTCCTCTGGGCACCTATAAACCCCAAACAAAGAAGAGGAATCTGCAGATCTCTCCATAGCTCCTGCTGGGTAGCCTCAGGCAGAGGATAAATTAGCACCTCCTTAGGGATCCAAGAGCCAGTGTACCCAGTGGTCAGAGTGGGACCATCCAGATTACAACTCCTCAGATCCATAAGGGACTCACTCAGGGGGCAGACTCAGTGAGCACCAGAGCCCCACTGAAGCAAGTCTTGCCCCAGAAGGGTGTCTAAAGCACAGAAGTTCTCCCACCATAGACATAGCTGATTCTCACAGATAATTGGCCTGGAGGTCAATTCCTCCCAGAGATACCTACAACAATCAAGGTTTAACTACAACAAGACTATAATAAGACTGTGCACAAAGCCTACAAAGGGGTGCACCAAGAGTGTCCACCTCAGGTAATTGGGGAGGCTGAGCCACTGGGCCCTGTAGGACACCTAGCACACAAAGCGACTCTATCAACACAGGGAAGCAGCCAAAATGCAGAGACAAAGAAACAGGTCACAAATGACAGAAATGGAGGAAAGCAAACTACTGGATATAGAGTTCAAAACCACACTTATAAGGTTTTTCAAGAATTTTCTAGAAACCGCCAATAAATTTAGTGAGACCCTCGATAAACCTAGTGAGAACTTCAAGGATATGAAAAAGGACCAACTAGAAATTAAGCATACACTGACTGAAATAAAGAATATTATACAGAGTTCCAACAGCAGACAAGAGGATCCCAAGAATCAAGTCAAAGATCTGAAATATGAAGAAGCAAAAAAAATACCCTACCGGAAAAGCAAAAATAAAAAAGAATCCAAAAATATGAAGATTGTGTAAGGAGCCTCTTGCACAACTTCAAGCATACCAACGTCTGAATTATGGGTGTGCCAGAAGAAGAGAGAGAGCAAGATATTGAAAACCTATTTGAAGAAATAATGACAGAAAACTTCCCCTACCTGGTGAAAGA